GTATTAAACCAATAAAGTTTGCTCCCTTTGACATAGCAGATCTTTGTAGGGAATAAATATATAGGCTGGTGGGAAAACTATATCCTTACACAATGCTTCTTATATGTGTTATAGACATGTAATAGATCAGCTAAAAGTGTAACTCCAGTTTTTGCCATAGTTCTCTTTTGGGTCACAGGAGGATATTTACTAATGTTCTCTTGTGACCCAAAACTCAGCATATAGCATGCAATTGTGAATTAAGTGATCAGCGGTTTGTGATCGCTCAGTTTCCGATCTATAGAGCCAGCGTGTGGCATCTACAGTGTCACACGTTGGCTCTAACTACAGGGATGAGTGTATTTAATTCTCCCTATAATTCTCTTTCAAGTTCCTTCCCCATGTAATTTTTTCTTTCCAAATTCGTCTTACCCTCTATATGCTCCAGTGCTGTCCTTGGCTTCCTCCTCGGTCCAACACCAGCAATTCTCTCCAGGGAAGAACAACATTTGTGTCATTCTGCCCATTTCCTAGAAGGCCATGTTGTTGTTGACATCCCCCCTAGAGAATCTTCACACAGGTTGTGCTCACAGTGCTTCAGAACTTAACGGCGCTCACAGATCATTATGTAAGCGCCACTCAGTCCTGAAAGAATGCCTGCAACTTCTGCCAGAAGCCTGCAACTTCTGCCAGAAGTGTGATGTCACTGGACCAGTATGCATAGATTTTCTTTAATCAAAAAGACCTGGGGGGGGGGTAGCACGGAGGGGTTGGGGGATGGGGCAACAATCTGGAGTTAACATGGGGTCAGACTATAGGACTTCCACTAATAATATGACAACACTAACCCATTGGTTCACAATGCTTCTGGAGAGTTACACTGCTGGCACTAAAGGCAGCCATGTCAGCATAGAGCATCTTAGCATTGCCAGCTCACACAATGTAGTACATACCCGCTGCAATGCCCAGCAGTGCTTGGCTGACAAAGCTTCCTGTATGAAGGCTTTCACGTGGCACTCCGTTTGCTAATTGAGCGGCATGATTTTCTTCAGTCTGCATCAAGGTCACTGTCAGGGCAATGCACTGCCGCTTCTCCCCACCCACAGCACCAGTCCTGCAGAAACTGTCAATTTTTTTAGCAAGTTCAGAGGCCAATTGCAAGTGAAACGGGAAGAAAATGGCTTTTCCATTGTGATCAGTGGAGCTCGACTGTCACTGTGTTCTGTGGATCAGGAGCTGTGCCAGCACTCCTAAATCAAAGCAGGGTGGATGTCACACTGACAGCTGAGCTTCAGTTATTATCCCAAAAGAGTCACTTTCTCAGTTTGACAGCCCAGTGCTGCACATTGCAGGAGATGGTAGAGGCAAAGGAGATAGGGGAGGCTATGATTCCACCTGCACCCCCACCACCACCAGGTTCCCTTTCTGCCTCTGTCTAAATCAAGCCCTGCTAGCACCTGGCATCACTGCCCACCAATCGTAAACTGTCACTTGCATGACATTTAATTACGCATGAAGCTCCCAATGCAGATAATAGTACATGAACAATATAGTACACATACTACATAGTGTACTCATATAAGCTTCTTTGAGAGAACACACAGCACAGCAGATTTATTCATAGCACTATGGACTAAACAATATATTGAATTGTTGGGTCCCGTTGAAAGTTTCCATATTTCTGAAACATTTATTATTGTGTTTGGGAAAGTGGAAAATGGTTTCGGGAAAGCCATATTTCAAACAGCAAGTAGGTGTGATTTCCCACATTCCAAAAATTATATGGTGACTGCTTTCCGCTTGTTTTTCCACATAACACATTTATTAGAGATTGTTACTAATATACAGATATACGGTGATCAAGTATTGCTTTACACCCTCTAGTAAAAATAACCTCAAGGTCCCTTCCAGGTAAAAGCACATCAGAAAATGCCTGATGGAAAACCAGTAACCTTACTGTACCCAACAAAAGTACCAAGCCACATTCCTGGCCTGTCTTGTGGAAACTGTCCCCACTCATTAAATCAATAATGCATGGCAGGTGACAGATGCTTTAAAGTGACAGTCTTATTGGAAGAAATTCATTTCAAGCTGAATTCTGGAAAAAAACTCCCCTTGCATTGGGGCTGCCCGTGCACTGCAAGTTTTAAATTCTCATTTAGGTATTGGGAAACTTGGGAAAATGGCTTTTACAACCTACAGTGCCAACAGCCTCTTTCCCATTATACTCCAGTGGTCATAGCCCTGCCAACATCAAGTGCATGTCAGGGCCCATAGATCTGAATTATAGGGACAATCCACAAGATGGAGCATAGCGGAGACAAGGAGAGTGCTAACTGCCAAGGCAGCAGGGATCAGGTAAGTAAAACTGCTTTTCCTGATACACTAGACCAAAAAATACATTTAACCGTTGCAAGGGTTTTTTTTCTTAGTGGAGATAGGTTTTAAAAGTCAAATAATAGCCACGTTGAACCTTTTAAGGATTTGTGCACATAGAAAAATGCACTTAGCATTTTTGTCCTCCACCCCCTGACGATCCCACCCTCCTCCTCTGCAGATCTGTACTTACCGAGATCCAACAAGCACAGTTCATCTATTGTTTACATCCCAGTACCACAATGCTCCCTCTGCTGGCTGCACCTGCACATTACAGCCCCATAGACTTCTTAGGGGTGTCTCTCAGCAGAGAGTTGGAAGTGGCCAGGAGGAGGAGCTGGATGTCAACAAACAGCAGAGCAATGACTCTTGGATTTTGGCAATTATAGATCTGTGGAGGTGGGATTGTAGAGGTCAAGGGATGGGGTTGACTAGCATAACTGCACTTTGTCTAAAAATGCAGTTATTCTTTAAAAGTACTAGTTGTGTATAAGAGCAGGGACCAGCTGTTACATTTTATACACAGTAAAGGTTTTTCTCTGTGCCCTTGTCATCCTGATTTTATTTCAATTCTGGAAGATGGGCCCCGATTCTGGGGCCCATCTTCCACCCTCCCCCCACCTTCATCTCTTCATAGTGCCTTAGGGGCTCATAAGAAAATTCTAACTAGAGGTAATGGGTGAGCTTTGCCTTGGAATCAGGGAACTGAAGCATTTAGTAAGAAAGTGAAAACAATTTCAGACGGGCACATACAAGTGGATTTTGTGTTAAAATAAATAGCAACTACATTGTGGTGCCTACACTTAGGTTTTATTTAAAGCATAACATATTTAACATATCTAAAACATATCTAAAACAAAATTGATTGAATAATGCAACAAAGAAGCTCATGCAGCTGTTCGAGCTGCGAGCTTTGCAGATTTTTGGGCTAGTGTCTTTGCCTGTTTGTAGCGTACGCAAAAGCGTGGAAGCATCACTTAGATCATAAATTAGTTTTTTGTTTTTTTAAATGTGTTTATTTGCAGTGTCTACTTTGAACAAAATTATAAAAACTGTAAATATATTGGCTTAATAAAATATTTGGCGCATTGAGCACTAATTTATGGAATGCACCAAATAAAAAGTCTGACATGTCGCACAGAAGTCGCATGATCTGCGCCAAAGAAATCATTTTACAGAAAAATTACTTTGTTAAGACTTGGCTCAATGGAGGTGTGCAGTATGGCACCAACATGGATGATGAGGATGATGGTACAACACAGTTAAGATCATGATTATTGCACCTAATGAACTTAATAGTTTATGTGAAATGCAACGTGCCAGAATCTGATGTACCTTGCAAGACTTTACGTTCCTCTACAACTGCCAATCATAGTTTATCTGGCCCATTGTGTTTTGGATGTGTCTGTGCAAATGTTTGCCTGAATGTTTGCACAGGAACAGGTTTCTTTAGTCTTTAGAATGGAATCTTTAGTGCCTTTATGTTCATTTTATTGGAAGGGAGGAGGAGGCCAGTCTCAGTTTACCAAATAATGATAAGAGATACAGGTTTCTTTTTTTGCACATTCACACACGTGGCTTCAGATATTCACACCCATGCACACACACAAGACTGGGAATTTATTGTCACATAGTATGCTCATTGTTCTCCTGAGAACCTTTCCTGGTATAGTAGCAAGGACGTGTGGTGAGGTCAGTGGCAGGTGAGGCCCCCCCTGCCCTGCCCCTGCTCCAGGCCCGGTCAACGAGCGATGTGTTCACAACCTGTGAGGTAGGAGGGGAAAACGATTTTCCTGTAGGGTGCATGGTGTAGGAGGAGGAGACAGGGAGGAGCCTTCCTGTCCCTCACTTGCTCGTCACTGATGAGGCATCTAGATGGATGCCGTCAGTGTTTTTTTAACTTTTTCTTTTTTGTGATTGGACAGCTTGGACCAATGGCGCTTTGACATTGGTCCAAACCATCCACAGAGCTCAAGCCTCTGACTCCAAGTCAAGTGCTTGTCGTAGCTCTGACCTCACTGTGTTAGATAACACACAGCGGCGAGGAAGCCCACTGCTGTGTAACCTAACATAGCTGTCAGAAGCCAGATGAAGCGCCGCCTTTATTTAACAGGCAGCGCTCCGCCCATGACAGGTTACATAGCGGGGAGCGGGGAGGCTGATAGAATACGATCTGAATGGAGAAAAAACCTTTTGGTCCATAATGGCAGGTGAGGCTTTTCCTCACCGGCCTCCCCAGACTGCACGTCTCTGCATTGTAGACATTACCCAAGATACATGACAGATTCCCCATCATCTGTGACATTAGCATGTGTCTTAACTAATACTTTTTACAATGGTAAAGAAGAAGGAGTTGACATTTCATAACTCTGCTCTAAACTATTAAAAACATGAATCCTTTCTGCTGTGTTAGTTTTATTGGCAGCTTTCATACCTCTGCAATTTGATGCGTTCTTGTGTGTCACAATAAAAATCCTACTTGCTGCTTCTGTGATTCCAATACAATACGTCTTCTACAATAATGAATGATAACACATGTGAAATGCATCCAAAACACATTGCCCTGAAAACATGGAGGTTTGAACGCAGATAGGACACAGTAAACTAAACGGTATATTTATACAGTCTCTCTTTCTCTCTTACAGTTGAAAACAAATGTTCCTCTTCCAATGCAGCTACATGCACAAAATGCCTTGCACTCGGACCAGAATGTGGATGGTGTACTCAAGAGGTAAGGACTTTGTGTGTTATTTCTTTAATGTAATGGATAGAAAACCTTAGGCAAGCCATACACTGATCATTTTTTCTCACTTAGCCTAATAGGGGTAAGTGTGACACTGCCAGAATACCAGAACAGTGACCATAGTTATATAGTTGTGGTCATTGTTCGGCCGATAACTTTCGGGCCGGCTTCTTCAACAAAAGTTGATTTGAAAACTTGCCTTTTGTCAAACAAGGAGGTTCGAAAGGAGCCACACAATGCTCAAAGAGTCAGCAGAACACAACAAGCCACATTCAGACAGTGTATGGCCAGCTTAAAGCCCATTTCCACCTCTGTAAGTGATTAGCATTTATTGTGGTAATGTAGAGGTGCAGTGATGATGTATATGTGTGTACATTTTCATGACCCACATTGATGGCTTTTTAAAAAAAAGTTATGGACTTTTTAGTAGACCTGAGTCCTACAAATTGAAAATTTTCTCCACCGGAAACTCAGTCTGCCTTACCAGGTCACAATACAAATTACACTGTCCAGAGGGGGTTGCCACTATGAATACTAATAAATGGGAGAGAGCTTAGAGAAACAGGGGTTGATTTACTAACCTTTTAAACACACCACGAACGTGTGTACACCTCTGTAGTGTGTTCCCTCCCAGCATGATCTATGGGAGGAATCAAAACACCTTTGTAGTGTGTACACACCCAGCAGGTGTGTTGTGCAAAGCCCTGCAATGAATTGCAAGGTAATGTGGTGTAAATTAGCTCTATGTTATGTTGCTTGCGTTGATGAATGCAGGAATGTAAATGCATGAGCTAACCATTTTTGTCTAAACTGTGAAGCAGCATTATATATGCATCATGTGCATGATTTTTCCATAAATGGCATTAGTGGAAATATGCTTTTAGAGACTTTTTGGTTGATAAATACGTTTTGCTGTGTGAAAATCACACACACCTGGTGTGTGTGTGTGTTTAGGTTAGTAAATCACCCCCACAGTGTTAATTTACACAGACTACCTGCATAGCACAGAAGCGGCCATTTCAAAAGGAGCCATGAGGAGATAAATAGGACAGCTAACTAAAATAAGTTTCTGTGTTCATATACAGCAACTGCACATGTCTGCTTCATGTATATTCGGCTCGGTGTACATTGCTGGCATATGTTTTTTTTTTTTTTTAAATACCTCCGCAAAGGTGGAAATGGGCTTTAAGTGTAAAATGTATGTATGGCCAAAAATATTTTTGTTTGTTTTAGCTTTGGATAGAGTAGGGAAAGGTTCAATTGCGTTTAGTTTTGTTTTGTTTTGTTTGGGTTTTTTTGCTGTCGGCCTATTATTTCAGAGATTGTACTTCCTTTCCTGGACATGCAACAGAAAGTTATTGGAAACCTCTATAAAGGGAGTGTAATTCCTCTCTTGGCCAGTTGTTACCACATTGGAAGTTACCCTCACCTCTTGTTTTGTTGACAAATGTAAACTTTTGGATTTCCCATCACTTTCTGTTTGAGTGACAATTGTCCCCAGGACAAAAAGAAAGGGTGACGTTACCCAGTATGGGCACAAACAGCATGAAAAATGTGGTATTGGTCCTAATCTTTCCCCACTCTCGCTAAAAGTAATAAAAAGAAAATTGTCAGGTTGAAATGTTCTAAAATGGACATTTTTGTTGAGTGATCCATGCATGTTGTTTTGCCAAATAGAAGATTATCATAAAGAGCCTAGTTATGTGCCTTTGTGTAGACCAGCCATGGTACCATATGTGGTGTGTAATCCTAGAACTGATTAAAACATCTTTCTTTTTCCAAGCTCATCTCCACACAGTTAGCCCTGTAAAAGATCCAGGGCATGAAGCCAGTGTTGAAGACTCTCTCTCTGTCCTAATGTGGCATTGCTGGGGTCACCAAGAACCATCTATGTCACATGATAAACAATGAGTAAGCCACTTGCTCCCCCAATTGAGAATGTATTTCTCTTCATACTCATTGGCCAGTTACAGCCACAAGGGAGCAAGGGAAGCTGAGTATGTACTGCTATCAGGCCCGCCATTGAAGTAAACCTGTTGCTTTAAATTTACCAATTTCAGATTTTGGCAAACAAGTAGATATGATGTAGACAATATGGCACATTATTTCTCCAGAATTCCTAATACAAAACATTGACAAATACCGTTTCTATGCAGCAGTTGTGTGGGCCAGTCCAGTTGGCTGCATTTCCACAATCTTTCTAGAGTCTATCAAAGCTTCAGCTGAGTTCATTTATTAATTTACATCTTATTTCCTTCGAAGTGTGGAAAAACTGATGTTCTTTCTTCTGTCATCTGAAGCCTTGCTCTTTATGCTGTGATCAACAGTAGTTTCAATGCTCAGTTTGTAATCTTTTCTTTTTTAAACAGTGATGTCATGTTTTGGAACAGATTCACCTTTTGGAAATGTTTTTGTTCTTGGTCATGTGGTATTATTAGAATTTTGTCAATTATCCTGTTACGTAAGAGGGAAAAAAGATATTTGCAGTGTGAAGAAAACATGCATGGGGAATTTTAAAATGGTAACAATTTGTTTTTTGTTTTAACACAAATGATTTTTATTTTTAATAAAAAAATAAAATATATGTTTAAATAGAAGGAGATGATGGATATATTTCCCCTACTCCTCACGAACTATCCAGGGGTGACCCCAACCGTGGTGTCACCTGGAGCAGTCAGCGAGTGACACCCCACTGGGACGTGATCACGCAGGCGCGATATCATCCTATGACGTCACGCGCACTTAACTGCCGGCGGCCTTCTTGGGGATGGAAGCCGGCAAAGAGAGTAGGGGACGTTCACTCGGCGGGATAAGGTATGCCTCTCTTGTGCAACTGTTGGTCTCTCGGTCCATAACCAAGTGCCTGACTTTTCAGAGTGGGTGACAGTCATTTTGGTGTCACTCCCTCTAATGATGTCACCTGTGGACCGGCGTCACCCCCCTTGTGACGCCACTGACTGTATCTAAGCTGGCTGCCTAACCTCCTTAGTATTACCTACTACTTTCCTACCTTACCTACTTCTAGCCAGCAAGGCCAGATTGGGGTTTGTTATGGATTTTGAGGGGGACTCCATACCATTTTATTTGTTAATTTTGTATGTGGGGCACCCTTCAAAATCCCTTATCCAGAATGAGGGTCTAGTATGTATTTTGTGGCGGGACCCCATGCTTTTTTACAAACAATATGAAGCTAGTCATAAAATGTCATTTAGCAGCAATAGTGTTTGGTTCTTTCTAAATGTCGCTTTTGTAGAAGTACATCATACAGGTGCGCAACTTTATGTGCAGGTTTAAAGCATCCCCCAAACATGTTATTTCAAGAATATGTATATTTTTATGTTGCCCCTTGAGATGCATTAAAAAGCTTACTCCACACTGAACTATTTTTTAAATAATTTTTTTGCATTGATATATGCCCCCAATGGTAGTGCCCAGCTTCCCATAGACTTTGATGGGGTTCACCACTATGTTCAGGGTTTGTGAACTTCCTGCCTGTTTCAGCAAACGTCCCGTAAATCGTGGGGTGGCTGCATGAACAGAGAATAGGATTGACTTGAACAGATTGTCCATCCCGAGCCAGTGGGGAAGAAGCCTGCGGGAGTGAGGAGTAAGGTAATTAATACTCACTATTATATGCCCCATAGACTAAGCAAGCATTAGGGGAGGGGCACCAAGCTGAGCAAAATTCAGCTTTAAACAGGAACTTTACCCATATCTATGAAATTACAACAAAAGCACCTTTAGAAATGTTTAGTAATGACAATCTACAAACAGATACATCTAAATAATTGCAGGCTTTTTATTTTTGGCATACCTTATTTTTCTTTTCTTCACCATCCTCTGTCAGTGGCCATTTTTTAAACTAAGAGCAGGTTACTAGATCTGCCTTTACTTCCTGGAACTCTGGCACATGTAACTAGGACATGTGGCCATGCACATTATTTCACTGGAGGAAAATGCCTTTCCCTGAGATCTCATGAGATTACAGATGGGATTTTCCAGAGCAATGCTCTGCTGATGTAACCTTCCCAGGATGCAACATTACATCATTTGTGCCAAAGAGGAACAGGAAATAGAAAAACAGTAAATTATGTATGTAAATTAAAAAATATGTTTGTTTAACTAATGATTGTAAAAGGATTTCATATCAACGTGCAGAGCTGAATGCTGATGTGGTTTTTAGTGAAAGGGGGTAAAGGTCCACTTTAAAGTGTATTTTCACTTTTGTAGTCAAAATTGAGACAAACCCTAATATGTTTGTGTTCCTATTTACATAGCATACCTAACAATAATTTAAAATATATATATTTCGTACCTTTTAGATATCTGTGATTAGCAGGTTTTAGCATGTTTCTCTCTCAGTTTCAGTAACTGTAAACTCTGACTGTCCTAATAGAAAGACTTGGGATTTAAGCCCCCCCTCATTAGCATACAATATCTTCAGGGCTTTAACCCTTTGTTAGGACAGATAGTTTTGCTTATCTAGATTACAAGTGATAATTAAATCTGCCGGCACAGTACAGACGGGGTTCATTATTTAAAAGAAAACGTCCCCCTACCCGCCAGACAGTGAGAACCAAGCAGGATTTTTCAGACCTGAAATTAGCAGAAAGAGCGTCTACAAAAGTAAGCTGCAACTTTTTTTTTTAGGTTATGCTATTTGATTGCGAACATGTATCAAATATGAAGTAGGTGTTATCCCAATTTGGCTGCAAAAGGGCAAATACAATTTAAGGTTAATCATTGAATTCTGTTCTAGCATTAATGTGGAATGTTGTCCTCCATAGACTACGTACTTTATTATCATAGATCCTTAGATAAAAATTCAATGAATACATATTTAAAAGAAAATGAGATGTTTTCTGTTCCTGCAATACCTGGCTCTTTATTTCACACTATTTTTATGTGTGTGATTCTTGGTCTGTCACCAGGACAAATGTGAGCTCATATTCAGGTCGATTCATTCTTGAGACCTATTGCAGTTAAAG